AGAATATCGGTTAAGATTGTATCCGTGAATTGCATAAATTCGCGGCCTCCAATGAGTTCAATGTAAGAAACAAAGCTCTCTGAATGGGTTGCAAAATATTTTGCGAAGGAGAATGTCGAAAAGCTCGGATGGATTCAGGATTATTTTCGTGCTCTAGCTCCATAAAAATTTACTTTTCAACGAGAAGAGCGTCTCTTTGAACTCTTATGCGACAACAATCGGGATTGTTCCAATTTGGTTGAGTTTTGGACAAAGGTGAAACATATTTAAATATCCTGGCCTGAGTTCAAAGGCTTTAAGCACTCTCATTCCATTTGAAACGCTGTATTTTTGAGAAGCCCGATTTTCAGCTGTAGAAGCTGTAATATAGAGCATACATATGTCGCTCAAAAATTAATGTGGAGAAAGAAATGTGAGTTGCAGAGTCTGAAAAAATGTGTGAAGAGAAGCAAGATTTGATAAACTTGATATTGGACGTTTTCACCATTAGTCGCCGTTTTTACTTTTAACTGTGGGTAATTGAAGTGTAAGTTTTGTCTAGAACGCCATAACAAACCACTAAGCCGGTAAGCACGCCGCGAAGTGACAAAGTTTAGGAACCCCTGGCATAGCCGATCAATTGGCAAGGCGATACGCGCTCATTATCTATTTGTTTCCTTTTTTAATTTGTGCGCAACATTGTTGCTAGTGACATGCTGCTGGTAACACTACCTTGTGCAACATACTCGTACAATGAAGGCCATGTTGCCGACGTTTTTTCTGTCTTTAACATTTTCATTGGAATTGTCCATTATATTGGAGAGCAATTTTTACTTAGTTGCTGCATTGAAATGACGTTGCATCAGGACTTAGGGATAAATTTAGAGAGATATTAGACACTTAACTCAGTTGCTCTTTAAATTTTGTTCCCCAATAGAAGCAAGCTCTTTTTTTTATTTAATTCTTTTTTTAATTGTTTGGAGCCTAAATCAGAGTAGCATTACCTAAAAAAAATTGCGTGTTGACTCTAGCCTTGAAAGGGTTAACAAAAATTTTTTAACAATGAAATTTTAAAATTTGAAGTAAAGCTCAATAAAAATTATTTAATTTGAATTAAAAATAAAATTTTAATATAAAAACTTTTTTAAATATAAATATGTATGCCTACAGTAAATTTATTTATAGATACACCTAAATGTTTTAAAACTATTTAAATTTAACTACTAATTAAAATGTATAACAAAACTAAGTTTTTAATTTTACAGTAATTTACAATATGGTTTTTTTATCGCCTCATTTTGCATCATCTAACAGTTTATATATGCTTTTATTTGTATTAATCTTTAAACAACAACTTTCTCGAATACTTTGAATGGGTTCGTTAATTTTTTTTTACTTTTTTCTATATAATCGCTATACATTTGTAGTTTGTTTTGGGTTATTATTGGCTTATGTTTAGAATATCATCAATGGTAATGATAAAAAACATCAATATAGTTTTTCGTTTGACTAAGTTAAAACCAAAAACAATTAGTTACACACATTACTAACAAACATACATACAATTGTTTTTTTTTACTTATAATACAGATTTTTTTTTTAATTTTCTTTTTTTGGCGTTTTATTTTATTTCTTGTTGTTTTATGGTATTTTTTTATATTATCTTTTATTTTAATTTATTTCTTTACTTTGTTTTATCTAATTTTTTTAACGTTTTTATTTAATATAATTTAGTTTGATTTAATAAAATTTAGTTTAGTTTAATTCAGTTTGTTTTAATTTAATTTCATTTTATTGAATTTCGTGATAGCACGAGTTCAAAAGCTCGATGAGTTTTAGGTGAATAATTTTAATGCGTATTTAGCTAAGTTTATATTTTAAATTTTACCTAGCCTGAAATATTTTTATAACTCATAAATGCGGAATAACGTATTTGAAAACTATTTTTTTTTTTAATATTCCAATTTAACTCACAAATTTATAAATTTCACTATAAAAAAATAAAAAAAAATAAAATTATTACTTTCCTTTAGTTTCACTTTTGCCACGGATTGCGTCCATGGTAAATACACTGGGACAGTAGTTGAGTTACGTCAACTAAATATGTTAAGAGAAATATATGTATTTGGTTGACTTTTTTCTACGTTTGGCCTTTATCATGTTAGAAGTAGATTCTTTTAAATATTCAATATATTGATCAACTTTTCGTTTATACATATTTTTAAGTGAATTTTTGTATTATATTTTCTTCAGCTGGCCGGTAACTTGTTTCTTCCTTTAATACTGTACAATTAACGCATTTTATGTAATAAATTGATTTACATGAGTATGTATGTATATTTACGTAAACAGGTTTTGGTATATGACACATGAGGTAGAAAGAACTGATGACTTTTGACAACAATAGAAAAATAAAACATTTTCTACTTTGCTTGTGTTTGCTGTTGTTGCTAGGCTGGTTAAACTGTTTTCGAAAAAAATAACATTTATAGCTGTACTGTTTTGGTATCCACAAAATGGACACAGCGCGCTTTACGAAGTGGTCGGCACTATTGAAAAATCGCTAGAAACTTACGGAATACACCGTTGCCAAATTCTTGTTGACGACATGTGCTCTTATGGAGGGTGCACCGGGTGATATCTCTAAGTTGGCCAACCAGAATGGCGAAATATCTTGGAATAATTCTGAGCTCCAAGTTGAATTGGAACAAGAATTTCGAGGAGAGATCTAAGAAATCTCTAGCAGCATACTAAACGTGGAAAAGGACCTATGGAAAGCGATGGGGACTATCAACGTACGTCAGTCACTAGGGCATGTACATCACAGTCATCAGACCAATTGCAACCCACGGGCCCTTAATATGGTGAAGGGCTCTAGACAATGGGAATGACAGGTTACAAAGTTCAATGCCACGCACCTCGGCCTGAAAGATAGATTTAACTTACCCCATGCTGGTGCAAAGGAGCTTTCTGGGTTGAATGGTGTAGACTACTGTTCCTACGTCGTTTTCGGTCTTGGAGCTATCAGTTCATCCAAGGCTTTGGTCATTCGTTGTATCAGTTGTTTTTTTGTGTGGAAAAAGAACGAAGTTAAAACTCGGAAGGCACGGGTCCAGAAATCCAATGCACATCCCTTCCCGTTGTTTTACATTGTCTCTGAGATGAGCCTTGCTATAAAGAATATAGCTTCCTTCTTTGTAACATAAGTGGATTGCAAGGAATTCTTTCACCTCCCTGATGCGATTTAAATTCTCAAATGATTTTCAACATTTACAAAATCCGTGATCTATAAAAATATAGATTGGCAATATTTGAAATTACTCCATATGTCGGCTTCTCAAGTTTAGTATTGCCTACGGTTGCCTGCCGCGAGTATAATAGCTTAACTCGATAGAAAAATTTTGTATATCCATGAAAAACCCGAAGCTAAAATGTAAAACAAAATTCTTTAACGATTACACCGTTCAACAGTTCAACAAAATGGTAAACTTTGTTTTTAGCTTTTCACTCCGGCGTCAGTTTTTTTAGGACTTTTAGGACTTTTTTAAAATTTTATATTTGATTATCACTGAAAGTTTACAATATATTTATTTTTGAACAAACTTTTTTTCGAAAGTCCCTATAAAAAATCCTGACGTCAGAGAGAAAAACTAAAACCACAATTTCACTATATCTGACCCGTAATTTCGAGAGTATAGTGATCATTTCGTGTATTTTGAAATGTTTTTGTTTTTGTTGAACAGCGTTATGAATTAGATTAGCAGTGAAAATCTTCCATCAGCTTGAAGCTTTCACTGAACTCTCAAATTTGGCATGGGATATTTTGCTTTTTTCAAATCGGTTAGTTCTTTTTTATATCTTTCTCTATTACCTTTAAAAAATCAAGAAACTTTAAGTAATTTGTTTAAACGAAATTTTCTCTAAAATACAAGGCAAGTTTTATAAGTCAGTGTTTTGTTCTACTTGCTTGTGTAGTAACAATAGATGCAACACTGCTCTTGTCAACAAACAGAACAGACTTCTAGTAAGTTTCCACGAGCCCCAAATTTCGCAATTTGGGCGCCATTTTCAATTCCAGCTTGAAATATTGTGATATGTTTCTCAATTCAGCCATAGAAAAAATGTCAATTGAAACTGTGTTCGAGTCTCGATTTGAGTGAAATTGAAAAAAAAAATTAACTAATTAATTTCGTAGCAAGATTTATACGTCTAAAAATTTATTTATTTGGTAAACCAATGTGAGCGAAGTTAGTTCTCAAATTGAAATTTGTTGTGTGAATACTTACAATTTCAAATTGAAATTGACAATCGAAATAGCCCAAATTGAAGCTGGTGGAAACATACTTTTATAGAGCAGAGTAGATTTAGAGATTAAAGCCTTTATTACTGGATACACAAATTTTCTATTTGAAAAGTCACTGATTTGTCAAAGCGCCCTCGTATTAAAAATAATGTGGTTTCACATGGAAAATATTTGTATAGTCTGTATGTGTCAACAACAGCAAAAACAGCCAAATTTTATGAGCAAAGTTTTGCTTTAACAATGATTTAAGTTAAATTTGATTGAAATAAAATTTCGTGCATTTTGATATAGGATTTTTTGCGTCTGAAATTGCTTTGCTTGTAAGAATTCTATACCACCAAAACAGAGATTTAAGCCAATTTTCCAATACTTTTTTACAATTCCCAGAATGTGCAAATCATTTCACTTTTTTCTTGTTTTTCCTCCATATTTTTCCTTTGGCATACTTTGTTTTTATTATTTTTAGCATATTTTATTTAATTTCTTACTCTTATGTGCGTATTGTAGTTGTTGCTATACACGCATATCTTCAAAATTTTTTATGCGTTTTTTTCGTACTTTGGTTGCAGTGATTTGTAAGTGATTTGAACTAAGCTTAAAAATAGTTACACTTCCAACATTTTTAGTTACTCTTTTTTTTAATAAATGAGTATAATTATGAGTATTTGCTTCTAACTCTCCATTTTCTCTTTCGCTATTTTTCTTATGATTCTTTCCTTTTCAATTTCGCTACTTACTTACATATATTTTTTTATAATTTTATTTTATGATGCATTTATTTCTATTATTTATTAACTCCCCTTAGTTCCCCGTGTTCCTTTCATTCCGCCTATACTTTCTATTGTGGCTGATAGGGTTGTTGGTAGTTGAGTTGTTGTGGTTGTTGTTGTTGCTGATACGCCGGCTGTTGGTATTGTTGGTCATAGGTTGGCATTTGAGACTGTATTGTTTGTTGTTGTTGGGCATAGTCATATACCCCATACGCGCTGGCATCACCAGCTGCGGCCTCGGGCACCACACTCTCCTCGGGTATAGTGCCAGCCATGGCGGCGAATGGATTGTTGGCCACGTGACCAGTCGCACCATAATTGATGGCATTCGGCTGTTGCATTTGACTTTGTTCGGTGTATTGTGGTGGTGCGCCCTGTTTTTTGGAGCGAAGAAAAAAATACAAAATATTGAGAAAGATAAAAAATAAAAATATTTTATAATGGAAATGCATTAAAAGGCAATTCGAACGAAAAAAAGGCGACAACAAAAGGTTAATGTATCCTTTGTTATGACAAAGTCTGGTCTATGTTCGAAAATCAAAATTATGCATTAACAACAAAAAAAAAAACACTACATACGTTAGTAATTCTGTGCGTAGTAAATGGCGCTATTGCATGTCAATTTCATTTGTAAATAATTTACGTCAAAAATTATATTGATTTCTGAACTTACGAATGACGTCTCTTTGGTGTAACCACCCTGACTGGGATCTTCAGCTATGGCGCCCATTGGTGGCGCCCACACCTGCTTCTCTTCAGTCGGTGGTTCGGCCCAGGGTTGTAGTTCGCCCGAAGCGAAGATGCCGTAGAAGGTGCAGCCGACTAAATGTACGCAGGCGGCAAGCGTGAACACTGTGGTCCAGCAGCCAGTGGGCTATGAAAGATAAAAATACATAAATTTTTTAACCCATTCAGGTCCTTGAGGTTATATTTAAATAAATAAAAATTACAGTCTACATATCGACCGATGAATGGAAAATTCCTTAAGTAGCAGATTTAGAAACACTTCTTGATATTCCTTCCTTAACTAGATATTTAAGTGAAAGATGCCGCTATTTACAGTGCTCTAAGACTTGAGGCTTCTAAGAGGCTACGAACAACTGGCTAGTACATGGTTCCTTTTTGTATATAGTCCGAGTATGATTTAATATATAAGAGGTAGTGATTATCGAATCAATAAAGTTAATTTTGGATGCAACTTAAAAATCCATTTTCTTAAGAGAAGTGACTGGGAACTTAAGGTTGTGACGAGAACTCGATATATAGTACACAGACGACTCCAAAATAAATAATGAATAAAGATCAGCTGTATTCTATCAGTAACTATCTGTGCGGAATGCATATGTGGTAAGCATTGTCGACCTAGCTCTATCAATACTTACCTCCGTTGTGAAGATTCACGTTGTTGTTAAGGCCCTTATGAGGGTAACGTCTAGCTCGATATGAGCTCATTCTGAAGATTGCTACAATTTCTTCGATAGCGTCTAATGGACCTCTACTGGGTCCCGGGATACAATGGTATACCGGGATATGAGAAAGCAGCCGCTCAAAACTTAAAGCCTCCCATTCCGGTTTTCATAAGTGGAAGAGATCTCTAGAGTAGCTACCAAACGAGTGGTGAACTAATCTTCAAACATGCACGGTAAGGTACTTAATCCGTCTACTGTTCGATAAACGAATAACACGGAGTTTGCTGAGGCACTTAAAACCGAATATTCGACTTCCCACCGGATCACCAATGGGACGGTAGACCATTAATTACATGTCGGCTTGTTTCGGACTCCTGTAAAGACAGAATTCATTCCGCACTATGTACATCTTCGACAGCTGGACAGGTTAAGAGAAACTTAATTAGAGGATCTGCTGCGGTTTTCCAGAAAATCAGGATGATTTAGATATCTACCGTATATTGAAATTCGCCAGTGCGGCCTCCGAGTGTACCCTTTCACTAGAACTGCCTATCTCACACACCCTCTCACACCGGCCGACGTTCATGTTGGTAAACAACGGTTCTATAAGTAGGTAACGTTTGCAGCGGCACGATACATATTGTCCGGTGGAGTCGCGGAATTCTGCCGTAATTTCACGGCAGTGTCTGTTATACTAGCAACCAATCGGGATCATATACGTTAACTCGATGGCAAAGATCTCCATGCCAGAGATTTCAACTTGAAGTTTCGGCAACTGGTAAAATAGCTTTAGAGAATATGCGAGAAGAGACATGCAACTTTATTTGCATTGGGAATAAGCTTTGGTTTATCGCTCGATCCCACGACGGGCAATGAAAAAGTGGGTGTCAGACTCGGTGATGCCGCCACTGCATGCTTTGGTAGACAAAAGCAAAGGTTATGTTTTCAGAAAGCTCCCAGAAGCGATCGCAGCATCAATACTGCAAATCGGACAGGATAGATAAATCCCTGGTGAGCTTTGTCCATCTTCTCCTCAATTCGGAGATAGGTGGAGCTCACATCACAAGGAGGAGTACTCCCACCCTCCTCTGGAATCTTACGGTAAACGACCTACTCATCCGTTACAAGGCAATTCCGTATGCCGATGATCTTGTCCTAACCGCAACTGGTAAATACTCACAAATCCTGAGAGAGCTGTTGCACTATAAACCCCCTATTTCACCTTCCTATATTTAACGGCATAGTGCTACCGCTCTCTATTGAAGTGAAATACTTGGGTGTTATCTTGTACAGAAAACTGACCAGGCAATGAAACGTAAAGGAGCGGGCCAAAAAGGCCATTACCGCTCCTGCAAAATGGCTATAGGCAAGCAATTGGTTTTCAAACCCCACATAGTTCACTGGATTTACACAGCAGTGGCAAGTCCCCTATTATTCTACGGCATCACAGTCTGGTGAACATCACTGAATAAATCGCTCACAAATTCTAGGCTTATAGGGATATAATAACCAACTACCCCGACAAGTTTAGATCCCCAGATTATAGAACACCTCGAGAACAAATTCTCCATTCGCTTCCCTTAGAGAAAGGACTTGGAGGACAACTGAGTCTGGGACGTCCAAGATAATTCCACAACTATCTACATGGATGGCACTAAACTAAATCTAGGAGTAGGGAGTGGGCATCACTCAAAGGACCTCTCATTAGATCTCTGCTTTAGCCTACCAGACCACTGCAGTCTGTTCCAAGCAGAACTCGCGGCTATAAAAGAGGCTGAACTCTCTTAGCCTGCCTTCAGTAGCTATATACTTCAATAGCTAAGCTGCTATCAAGTCACTGGATTGCTGCAAGACCTCATCCATAACTGTGATAGGGTGTAGGAAGGACCTTAACGATGTACTACTCACATTGTATACTTAATTGGAAGGCGTGCTAGCAGAATAGGTTTGGCGGCCAATAACTTCTGTCGGTATTTTGGTATTCTTCTGTCTAATATATCCAAATACACAGTTAGCCGCAGCCCTCTAAATGTATTCTTTAATACTCATGATTCGTACAATTATTACTTACGATATACATATTTATTTGTTATTAATTGGACTATCAATGTATTTAAACTTAAAGGCATCTGCATTACTTACATCTCTGTAAATCAATCCATCGAGCGCATAGGGCACAATTATGCCAGCCAAAGTGCCAATACCATTCGAGAGACCCATCAAAATACTAGCATAGCGTGGTGCGATATCCAGATGATTAACATTGTAGCCCGAAATGGCAAACCCACTGAAGGCGACGCCACAGGTGAGAGCAAACATGGCGCCAGTCTAAGAGCATGAAATAAATTGACTATTCACAAAAGTCCCTCCCACAAACTTACCGCCGTATTTGAGTGCGCGACGAACAGAAAGAACAACCCCTCCATGCCGAAACCACCGCAATTGAAGAGCTTTCGCACATTCGTCGTCGACATAATGCCATTCTTACGCAAATGATCCGCCAACATGCCGCCAAATGGCACTATAGTGGTCATAATCAAATGCGGCAACGAACCAATGAAGCCCGCCTCCTCGACCTTGAAGCCAAATTTGTGTTTCAGAAATGAAGATTGGAAGAGCACGAGTAGATAGAAGTTCCATGAACGACAGAAATTCGCAACGATAATGGCATAAACCGGCATGGAACGCACCATCTCGCGCCAGGGTGTGGTGCTTATCGATGGCATCGATGGCTGCATGGACGTCTCGCCCAACGACTTCTCGATATACTTCAGTTCAGGTACGCTAATGGCAGGATGTTTGCGGGGATTCTCGAAGCAGAGCCACAGCCAAAAGAGGTACCTAAGGGGAGGAGGGAGAGAAAAAGATGGTGTGCGTGAGATAATATGCATTTGAGAAACATTGTTTGAGACTAATATTGTACTTGGTTTAGTTATGGTATTTTTAAATTAATAAAACTTAATTAAACTTAAATTAAAACTATTTTATGAAAAGCTTTTTCAGTGTGTTTCTATTTTTTGGGTTTAAATTATCGGTTTACTGCAAAAAATTCAGCACTTAAAATTTTTATGAAAAAAATCTAAATTTTATACTTTGATTATTGTCTACATTTAACAAAATTTTTATTAAACACATGTGTCATAGTTTTATATATTTATATTGTTTACGCTGAATTACAACAGAAAAATTCAACAAATATACACTGTATAATTTTGTTTGCAAATGTTTGCGTTTAACGAATTAAAAACCTCCTTTAAAAACTATTTTCAGTGTACGTTTTTATATTGTTTTTAAAACATTCACGCTTAAAATTTGACATTAAAGAATATATGTATTTTCAAATGTGGATTAACCATTATTTAAGTTTAACACCGCCATTTTTTGGATACAATAACAAATAAACTGAAAAAATACACTGCAAAAAATATTTACGATTTTTTTCAACAAAATAAAAATATTTCTTCTGGAGTAAAACGCCATCTACGTTATACATATTTACATAAACAAAATTTAAATATTTTTTGAAGTAAAAAATGAGAAAATAAAATAAGTAAAAAGTAGTACTTCAATGATAAATTAGAATCAAGATTATAATTTATAAAAATTTGCACTCCACAAATTAAAATTTTAAGAGCTCCTACATAAATTTACATACTTAACTTTGTATACAATTTTTTTATTTAAAATAGAAATTTTCCCATATCAGAAAGTTAAATAAGGGTTAAAACTAAATTGTATACATACATATGTATGTACCAAAAAAAAAAATCAAAATTAATAATTTTTTTTTTTCAAAAAAAACATTAAATATTTTTTATTTGGGGAGCAAAAAATGGCAAAATGATAGCAGTCTTATTTTAAACCACACTTTTTAAAACAAGTAAATACTACTAAAGTCGGTGTCAAGGGGCCTCGATCTACAAAAAGTGTCAATTTGACAATTTAGTCGCACAATAAATGTACACTGCGAAAAAAAAAACATTTTATTAAAATCCAAAATAATGGAAAATACCCCTCAAACAAAATAACGTCATATTAGCTTTAAAAAACTTTCCTATAAATTCAAAAATTTAGATTTTTTTTAATACAAAAATTTGCTTCGTCTCCAAGTATTAAACTTCCATGTCGTATTTGGTATTCGCTACTTACCATGTTATGCCAAACGTGCCGTAAGCGTAGAAGGGCGCCTGATAGCCAATCGCATCGGCCAGCAGACCGGACAGCGGTAGACCCACAACAACACCCGCATACGAACCGCTGAACGCCAAAGTTGCTAAACGCGAACGCTCCATGGGTGGCGCCCAAAATCTCCAAATGCCATGGCAGGCCGGATAGGTGACACCCTGTTGGGCAGAAGGTGACAAAGAAAATGCGAAAATAATTTACATTTGCAGGCACACAAAAGAAGGCATTAAATGAAAAAAAAAAGACAGAAACAGTTTATACAAAGAAAAAGCGCTGACACTGAGGGCACACGAATGAAGAGAAATCACAATTTTTTTGTTATTGTAATTTTAGTATATTTATTTTTATATGATTTGCAGAAAAATTCAGCAGCAACAGGAAGTGCCGGATTTACAGATGAAGGAGCTTTGTCGTCAAAAATAAACGAAATAAAACCAACAAAGAAAAAAAATCGAGTAACTCATCAAAAGCGCTGGCAAAAAGGATTTATTTAGCAATAGCAACCCTCAACGCCCAAAAGCAGATTACAGCATGTTTTCATTTCGGCTGCAACACAACACAAGCGCATTAATAATACGAACATGAGCACATACGTACATACATATGCTTGCCTGATTTACTATTTCAGCAAATTCAAATATCTTCATCTTCATATGATTCAATTTCATTTTGAATGCCTCTGTAAATCATACGGCTGATGGCTCATACGCTGCCAAAGAGCCGGGGCAGACAATCAGCCACACAGGCACAGCTACAGCTACATAGTCAAATTCAAGTAGCTTTGATCTGCTTAAGGCAAATCGAATTTCATTCAAAATGTTGCATTTAATTTCACCGCTTGTTATGTGACAAATATTGTACAAAGCTTTGTATCTATGTATGGATGTATGTACATACGCACATCTCGCTCAGCTCATATTTTCTTTCATAAACTAACTGACCCTTCCTTACACTTTCTATTCATATTTGATAGACCATACGAGATACACTTCCACTCACCTCGAATAGTCCCTGCGTTACACGCACACCTATGACAACATAACCGTGACACACGGCCATCACCAATGGCACCAACAAATGTAACGTTGCCGAGCATACAATGGACAATCCGAAGATTTTATTAGCCGGAAATCTCGAAGCTATGAAACCACCCGGTATTTGTGTGATCAAATAGCCCCAGAAGAATGACGAATCCACATGGCTTTCCACGGCGACACTCCAATTCATGAAAGTCGTCTGAAAAGAGGAAATGAATTATTATACACTTTTTAATGAACAAATGTGCAAAAATGTATCTACATATGATGTAACATTAACTCAACAATTGTAACGACTGTAATAAACTTCAAATCGGAGATAATTTTTTTTTAAAGTTAGGGAGAAATGGTATAGTGTTGAGCCGAAGTACGAGTACGAAATATTTAACTTTGTTTAAATAAACTGGAGAGGCAAAAAAAAAACATCGATGTTAACTATTCGATCGAATCGAATAAAACCGATGTTTTGGACCATCAGATAAGTATTGTTATATCGATGCATTTTTTTTTCGATGCACCGACTTGTGTATTCCATTTACACTGAACATACATACAGTGGTCGAAGAAATTATAGTGGCACCACATTTTGACAAGTTTTAACATATTATTTTTTTGTTATTTAAT